CCACCTCCCTGAGGTTACTCACCGCATTACACTTGGGTAAACACCCTTCTAGACCTTTCTCTGCACAGACACGCAGCACACATCGCCACTCACAGTGTTTTCTTTTTAACAAAGCGGGGCTCCTGCCCTGCATATTTTACAACTTCTGTAAGAAAACGCAACACGAGGACCGTTTCCCCCATGGCGGCACCCCCGGCCCGGCCTCCCGGGCAGTGCCGGCCTCCCCATCTTCCACGCGTACGCAGACCACACTCGCCCTCCCCACCGACGGCCACCGGAGCTGCTCCTGGCGCTTTGCAGGCGTTTTCAACCTCGTACCTACATCCTTACGCCCTGGCTCTTCCGTTCATCGTTTGGCAATTTTTTTTTTTTTTTTTTTTTTGGGTCAGGAGATTTTTTTTTTTGTCCGCCTACTATATGTCAGGCACTGGGCCAGGTGCTCCAAGTCTCTGTAAGACAAACTCCACGAGCAGAACTGCATGAAGGACGCGTATATTTGAAATTGTCAGAGATCCAGCCAAACCCACCTTCCAGAGGCTGCCTCCTCGTGCCCCTCCAACAGCGAGTGAGGCTGTCCACCTGCCACCGCCCCCCCCCGGCCCCCGCCGCCAACCCCAACACGGGGCATTAGGGATCAGTTTCGTTTCTACCTGGATCTGATCAGCAAACAACAAAGGATCTCCGGGTTTAATTTGTTATTTCCCCGATCACTGTGGCGGCTGGGTCCCCCCTTGCACATCTCCGGGGGCAGCCGGCTTTTGTTTTCGGGACTTGGAAGGTGAGGGCTGGAGCCGTCACTTGGCTAGGGCCGGTCCACGGGGAGCTCTCTTTGGGCCAGGCAGCCCCCGCCCCCACCGCCACTTCCTCCCACCCCAAAGCCTGGAAACCAGGACTTCCCTCTCCCACCCAAGCTGCCCTCCCCTCCGCCAGGGCCCAGCAGATGGGGGAGGCCGCCTTCCGGTCCCAGAGAGGAAGCTTCGTCCTCGATTGTTCTGTGCGGGGCCCGCGGCTGCAGGAAGAGGCCACGTGGTCCCCCACTGGAGCAGAGCAAGCCCCCTTGGGCAAGAGGCCTCAGGTGTCAGAGGCGGTTTCCTCATCCTAAAATGAGGACCCCAAGAGGTCCTGGGGAGAAAAGAGAGGAAGGGGAGCCAGGGCAGGTGTGCACATGCCCAGCTCCAGCGTCCCCCTCCGCCTGAAGCCTCAGTCCCCAGTCCCTCCACCCCTGCCCGGCCCCTTCCCACCAGCCTCCTGCAGCCCTGACGGCAGATGTCATCGCGTGCTCTGGCTGGAAAGACCCCCCACGCCCTGCCAGCAGGTCTCCTCACTCAAGGCTCCCACGCTGGAAGCGGGTCCGCGAAACCCAGCCCAGAAGAGAGCACAGCTCTGCGAGAGCCATCTTTCTGCGGACTCCGCCAGGGATCGATCACAGGATCACCAGTGAACTCGTTAGCAGCTCCGCCACGGACAGAGCCACGGATCAAGTGCGTGGAATGCACCAGGCACTGTGCTGAGCTCGTATGGTGCATCTCCTCCCAATACCCAGCGAGGGAAGGACCTTTCTCCCCATCTCACAGATGGGAACAGAGAGGCTCAGAAAGGTTAAGAAACCAGCCCCAAGTTCGCAGCTGGACTAGGGCGTGGGCAGGGAGCACTGGCCGCCCACAGAGACCCTCTCTCTTGAGCTCTTTCTCCCCTAGCCCCCAACCAGCCCTGGGCCTCAGCCACGCCCCAGCTTCCCTGGGGGCCCCAGGGGAGGGCAAGCTGGGGACAACATAAAGCGTCTCCCACACAGGCTAGAAATTGTGACTTGTCACTTCGAAGGCTGTGCTGGCTGACAGGTGGCGGTTGAGGAATCGTGGAGGAAGGGGCTGTGGAGGCAGGTGTCTCCAACAGTTTGGGGGAGGTGGCTTTTAAAGCAGTGTGGGTGGGTCGAAAACCATATAGAACCCTGCGAAGCTGGCACGGAGAGACGCTGTCGTCCGTAGGAGTCGGTGTTCAGCCGAGGCGTGTGCACGCGCGTTCCAATTCAAACGGTTCAAACCCGGGTGTCATTCTAAAAAGTTCTCCCGGATTAGAGATTAATTTTAAGCAGGGATAATGTGCAGGGGTATTACGGGTTTTGGTTAAGTATTTGGAATTAATATTTTGGATACAAGCCCGTATGTAAAGGACAGAAACCCTACCCTTAACCTTTGCCACTGGGCTGCTCTCTCCCCAGGCCACGAAGGCCCAGAGTGTGGGTTTCATTTGAAGTATTCAAATACTTCAAATGAAAGGGTCTCGTGAGGGTCTCGTCCAGTGGTTCTCAGGGGTGACTCTGCACCCCTCCCAGGGACAGCGGGCAATGTCTACAGACAGCTTGATCGTCCCGGCGGGGGCGGACCTGGCACCAAGTAGGCCGAGTCTAGGGATGCTTCCCACGCCCCACAGTGCACAGGACGGGGGCAGTTGTGGCCCGCCCGTGTCTCTGTGCAGTCCCTCCTGACCACCCCTCACTTTCTGCATTGTCACGGGGCTCAAAAAGACGATAAAGCAACCTTTGGGGTCGGAAAGATTGCACCTCGGGGCCCTCAGAGCCGCCTGCGGGGACTTCTTTCCCTATCCCCCCAACAGCTGATACAGCAGCAGGGCCCAGAGCCAGGGTGGTCGGCTGTTCTGGGCCTGGGCCTGAGCGCAGGAGGGGTTGCTGCACACAGGCTCTGCCCTCTCTCTGGGGCTGGTCCTGCCCCAGCTGGGGGTTCAGGCCCAGGGAGGATGGGTTCAGGGGACACAGGCCCCCCTCCATCCTGTAAGAGGTGCCCCAGGGAGGGGAGGAAACAAAGGGAAGCAAGTGGAGAGCAACGAAAACGGCCTTCAACCTCTGAAAACGCAAATCATCCGTGACTTGCACTATTTTTAAATTTTTAAAAGTCAGGGAGTGGGCGCTGTGTAAAAGACGGAGACCTGGGCTCAGGAGAAACTTCGGGACCAAGGGAAGTTTGCATCTTTCTGAATTCTGCAGCCTTGGCCGCGGTTCTCAGCTGGCTCAACCCCGCAGCAGAGAGGAGGATGGTCACAGTAACAATGTCAAAGACAACAACCCTGGGCTTGGCACAGTGCCGACTGCTCGACAAATGTCACCTCCCATGATTCTCACAGTAAGCCGGGGGGGCAAGGGCTGTGACTGGCCCTGTTTGCAGACAAGGAAACCGAGGGCCAGAGTGGCTAAGATCGCACCCTGGAAAGTGCAGAGCCTGGACTCCCGCCCAGGTCCGCTCCACTGCAGCTAGGTGTGCAGCAGGCGCTTCTAACCAGGAAGCAAGGACTGGCACGGAAAGGGAAAGTCATCTCGGGTCTCCAGCCTCAAGCCTGCCTCCAGCAATAGTGCCTAGAAGGACACGGAGCCACCAAAGGGAGGCTTCCAGGCCTGTGCACAGACTGGGAGGCGGAGGCCCCAGCCAGGCCTGCCTCTCCCCGCAGCACACCATGTCTGCCTCAACTCAGCGCCCCTGGTCCTCCCGCACGTCCTTCCTCCTGGCACTCTTATCTTTCCACGTTCCGCGAGTCCCTCTGCCTCCCCCTCCACTTCCAAGGAAGAAGACAGGCTTTCCCTAAAACCCCTAGAAAAACCTCTGTGTCTTGTCCGTCCTCCCAGATCCTTTACAAAGTCCCAGAAGACTTCCGGTTTAAGGCTTCCTAGGAGAGTCCACACCGAAGAGCTAAGAATGTTTCCCTTCTTGCCATGGGAAGTCAGCCCCCTGCCTTGGTTAATAGCCACTTTTGAGAATCAAAAGGCTTGGGGTGTAGACATCAGTTTGACAGAGGAACGTGCCCCCCCACACCTCTATGGGGTGATCCCTGTTACCCCCCTTCTACCCTTTACCACCTTCCTCTTGTCCCCCTTATAACTTCAGGGGCACCCCTGGAGTTGTTCAGTGGAAAAGCGACAAGATCCGGGGTCCCACCACCCTCCATCCCCTCCTCACCCCCTCTAATTTTGGTGGGGGGTGTGTGCCAGGATGTCCTGAAATCAGCGAAAAGGTCCAACCCCCAGGGAACCCCCTGCTCCGCTCACTTGCAGAACTGGGAAGCAGGGTGCACGGGGTGGCAGGCTGCCCTCAGGGCCTGCCTAGCTCCCCCTGAGGGACCTCGTGCTCCAAAAGAGCTATTTTCACCGCCCTATCTCAGGGCGGCCCTGAAAGCTGAGTTGCTTTCCTTTCTACTGGTACTCTTTCCAGACTGGGGATGACCACCTCTGCGGCCAGACAACATAGCAGAAGAGTAGACCCAGGCTCCGCGTGTCCTGCACCAAGACATGCATTGTCCTGGGAACATTCCGGAGACCAAGCTGGAGAGAAGCGGCCAGTGTTAGGGCCCCTCTGGAGCCTTCGGGACACTGACACGGGATGTCTGCATACAGCGGCCTTCTGCCTCGGGGAGAGAAACACGCTACTCCGTGAAGCAAACTAGGTTTCTAAAACTAGCCATCCTCTCCAACAAAACACCGTAGGAACTGCAAAGCCTTCCCCCAGGCCCTCACGCACCTCTGAAAACACTGCAGAGACAAGTTCGAGCCCAGCACTAAGCTCGATACAAATAACCACAGAGGCATCCAAGGGCCCCATTCCCCTCCGGAGTATGGGCCACAGGTGCCTCCCAAGGAGGCCCCAGCCGAGGGGTGGGGGGTGGCAAGCCTCAGGCTTTCTCATGGCCCCGGGACAGCACGCTTGTCAGATTTGCCAAAGAGACACCTGGTGGAATGCGCCTCTACAAACCGGCCTCTTACAGGCAATGACACAGGAACCCCAGGGGCCGGTGACACAGGGAGGGAAGGTCGCAGAGCCATGACCCCAACCCGAATCGACAGGCAACCCGTTGAGAGCACCTGGCCAAGAGGGAGGACTCACGGGCCACTTCCGTACCTGCCTAAAGCTTCCCCTCTGGCCCCCAGCCCCGACCCCAGACCCCCAAGCTCCCCAGTCTGAGCAGCGCCCCCAGCACTCGCCCCGGGCGGTACTCACATGCCCTGCTCCCCGTACTGGTTGTAGAACTCCATGTGGCTGCACGCCTGAATCCAGCCCACGATCCAGGTCTCTTTCTTGGGGATGGGCGGCATGACCACCTGGGCTGAGGCACGGAAGTGGGGTGTCCGGTAGCGGAGCACCACGCTGGAGGACTCGTCGATGCTGGTGGGGATGGGGTCGATTGAGGCTTTCACATCAATCACGGTGATACCTTCCCGGAAGACTCTGGCTTTGCCCCCGATGCTCTGAATACAGCCCATGGCACACAGTACGGCTCGGATCTCCAGGGAGGGCCAGCAGTCCCAGAGGAAACTGGGCATTGAAAGGATGGAGGCGGCCTGACCCAGTGCAGACGGTACTGCTCTCCAACCTCAAATCTCAAGACCGATATCCATAGGATAGAAAATTCACTGAGTACAGGGTCTTTGCATATCACTCTCTCGGGCCCGTTTATAAATAAGGATTTTGCTGCATCTCAAGAGCCCTGGGTTCTCTCTTCTGCTAGCAGTGGACAAAAATCACCGATATTCTTTGGGTTAAAAAAAGGAAAGTTTGGAGGCTAATGGACAATCATGTTGTTCAGACATCCAGTCCTTCCGTGCCTCACACGCGGGGAACGCAGCTCCGAGACGCTCCTGAAGTCTTGGGGCGAAGAAGGCGAAGGCCGGCAGACACATCAATGAGGAAGGCTCGTCCCCTGCGCGGTGCCGCCACCCTCGCTGCAGAAGTCCGACTTCCTGCCCTTCTGCCTTCCGCACGCGCTCGCGCGGGGCACACGCACCGGCCGCTCGCCCAACGGGGCCCTATCAATGGAAGAGCAGTTTCTGTTCGAGCGCGGAGGCCGGGGCGCCCTCGGGGGCGAGCGCCGACCCGCGGCTTCCAGGAGGCGAGCGCCGGGCTCCGGCCGCCCGCGGGGTCGCCGAGGAGCGCGGCGCGGGTCCCCGTCGGCGCCCACTCGCGGGCGCGGGTCGACGCCCCCACGCGGGCGCGCCGCGTCCCCCCGCCGCCGCTGCCGCCGCCGCCCGTCGCCGCGCGGGGCTCCGGGGCTGCGCTCGGGCCGCCGCCTGGCTCGCCGCGGCCGCGGAGGACCTGGTTGGGGGCGTGGAGGAGACAGGGCGTCAAGGCCCGCCTCAAAGTTGAGCCGAACTTTGCTGCGGGGGGCGCGCGAGGCGGCGACGCGTGTGCGCGGGGCGCGGGCTGCGGAGCTGACGGCGCAGCTCTGGGCGTCCTCCCCGGAGGCGGCGCCCCCCCTCCCCGCCCGCCCCGTCAGTGGCGGCTGCACGACCGCGCGCACCAGCGAATAATCGCCGCCCGTGACATCTCCGCTGACACCCTCCCGGCCCGGGGGTGGCGTGGGGTGGCGGGGGAGGACGACCGGCCGGCACCGCAGTGGGCCGCGTGGACTCGCCGGCCCTGGCACTGCCTCCGGCGCCCGAGCCCCTTCCCCCGCCGGATCCCTCCGGCCCCCGGGGGGCGCGCAGTGTCACCCCGCAGGCCGGTGTGATCGGGCGTGCGCCCCTTCCCGGACCGGGATCCCCCGACCCCGGAGGGCGCAGTGCCCCAGCCCCGCCGCGTCGGTCGCCTCCGTCCCCACCCTCGCCAGCCCCGAGCGGCGCTAGGCCCCCAGCGCGTCGGGCGCGCTCGCCGCCGCCGGGGAACTTTGGCGCGCACGCCCCCACCCGGGCGGCGCCACCGACTCACCTGCCCCTCTGGCCGCTCCGCGTGCCCCGGACGCCGCCCTCCGGACGCCCCTGACCCCCGCCGCGGGTACGTCCTCGGGGCGTTCCCCCCTCCCCCGGGCAGTGTCCTTTGGCTCTACTGGGGTCCGGGGCGGCCGTGGGCGCCCCCGGCCCCCGCCTCCTCCTAGCTCGGGGCTGCCGGGGGAGGGGTGGCCGGGGGCGGAGGGGTGAGGCTCGGGGCTCTCTCGCCCCCACCCCGTGCGTCCGCTTTATTTTATGATCATTGTGAGCGCGCTGCCGCCGCTCAGACCCGCCGCCGCGCCGCAGCCGCCTGGCGCGCCCCGCGCTGCCTCGCTCTGCTGCAGCATCGGAAAGGCAACCAGGTCAAACTTTGCAGAAACTCAGCCCCTGCGCCGGCCTGGCCCCGCGTCCGCCTGCAGCCGCTGCCGGAGCGCAGCGCACGCAGGGACCGCCGCCCCCTCGCCGGCCCCGCGGGGATGCAGGTCCGCAGGCGGCGGCGGCGGCGGGCGGGCGCCGCCTCCTCCTCGCCGCCCGCCCTGCTCTCCACCCTCGCTCCCCGCACACAGCCCGCCCTCCCCCTGCTAACCCTCTCCCCGGCTCCCCCCCCTCTCCTCCTGCAGCTTGTGGGGAGCTAAGCCTCTCCTCGCAGAAACGACATTTCCTTTCTGGCTAGCCCCAGGAATTCTGGGTAGTGTAGTTCGGCTTCTGTCGGGCGCAGGTGGGCTCCTCTGCCCTTTGAGCGCGGCAGCCTCCCTGGGGAGGAGGGTTGCAGCTCACGGTATTCCTGGCCATGGTGGGGCCATGGCTGGGTGGAAACAGTGCAGGGACCCTGGGAGGCCCCAGGGCTGGGAAGCTTGGGGGAGAAGTCCGGGGACAGGATTCCTGGGACAGAGCCTCTTGGCACTCAGACAGGTGGTCAGGCCTGTTGGGCCCCGGCTGGGATAAAGTGCGTCATCATTTCCTCTGCCCTCAGCCACCCCTGTGGAGGGAGGTCTATTATGGGTGCTTCACAGAGCAGGAATTCAAAGCTGGGAGACCCCAGAGACTTGCCGGAGGCCCTACGCCGGCAGGTGTCCCAGCTGATACTGGGACCCCAGCCATCTGAGTGCCGAGGTTCAAGGGGGGGTTGACCCTGGAGAGTCCCGTGAACCTCTCTGAGCTGCTGCAAACCACCAGCCCCACCCCCACCTTGCAGTCTACTCCCCCAGGGAAAGGCCAGGTGGTTTGTGACATCAGGAAACCTGGCAGGCACTTAGAGCCACTGACCTGCCCTGCCCCCATGACTCTGACTTCCAAAGGTACCCGCAGCCCACTGGGAAGCAGGCCCTTCCGGCCAGTGTCCCGTTAGAGCGTTTTGAGTGCCCGGGAGGGCAGGAGCTGGGGAGGGAGGGTTCCGGCCCCTCTGAGGTCTCCTCTTTGAGGGATGATCAGCCGGGTAGAGGGACCATCGCATGCCAATGCCAGCTTAGGCCACAGGTACCTGATTTCTAGTCCTGCTCACTGAGACGAAGGGAGGGTGGCCCTCATGACCTGTTTCCTGCTACAGAGGAGAAGCCCAGACAGCACAGGTCTCCCAAAGACCCCGTGTAAATGTCCGGTTCCACGAAGAAGACTTCCCTGGCCTCATAACCCAAGGTGGCCTCTCCCTGCTGTGACGTCATGGCTCCCCCAAAGCATTCTGCTCTTCTGGAACTCACCAGGGCCTACGTCACCTCCTTTGCCTTCAGATAACTGTTATACTATTCAGTTTCTGTATAGGTAAGATGTTAACTTGTGGGGATGTCTGTCTCATCTCCCAACCCCCATCACCCCCAGTGCCTGGAACAGAGCAGCCCCCACTGGCCAGGGTGTTCCCTGAAGTCACAGATGCCATCTTGGCGACAAGGACATGGGTGCTTGCTCTGTGAACTCGTGCCAGGCTGCACATTTTTCTCATTCGATGTGAAAAGGACAGAGGCCAGAGCCTTAACCTTGTCACTAAACAGCCACACCCCTAGAGGTGGTGCTGCCTGAGTGACCCCTGACGCCTGAAGGTGGGCTATACAGACAGACCCAGGGATCTGGGGACAGAAGCCTTTCAGAGTCTGGATCCCCAGCCACATCTGGCCAAAGCCCACTCAGTTCCTTCCTCCAGGGGCGCTGCCCTTGCTAGCTGTGGCCAACCCCTCTGAATGGGATGGAACTGACCCCTAGTAACCCCTGTCGCTAGTGAGTCCCACTGGAAAAGGTGCTCAGGTGCCCCCAGGGTGAGGACTCTTGCAAAACAGAAGCCCCCCTCCCACTTAACCCCAGCCCTATAGATGCCTCCCTGCACGTCATACCCCGTGCAGTACCTTGTCCTGGGCTAGCTGAAGGCCAGTTTTGTGGGCGGAGGGCTACGGCGGTGTCCGTGGGCCTGGTCACCAGGCTCTGAGCTGAAGAGTGCTCCCCACAGGCCAGCCCTGACCGAGAGAGGGTCTCCGCAGCCTGGGCTCTTGCACGCGCCCTGTCCCAGTCCTCCTGGGCCGGTCAAGGCTCTGGCTGCTTCCCCAGCTCTTGGGCCCTGTTGGTCCTTCTGCCTCCCAGCTCAGTCTTCCTCCCACTCAGCATTTCCTGGAGCTCCGTGGGTGTCAGGCCCAGGCCTGCAGCTGCCTCAGCATCTGTGGAAGGCCCAGGGTCCGTCCACACATGTATGAAGTGCAGAAGGGGACATCTGGTGGTAGCACACCCAACACCACGGGGACACTCATAGTGCCCCTCGCTGACCTTTCCCCCTCCCCCAGATCTCAGTCTCCCTAGAACCCTCGGGAAAGTCACCAATGAATGAGAAAGAGGAGAGACTGGACAGCCCCAACCCCAGCCAGGAGATGAACTCCCCAGTGTGGCAACTTGGGGACTCAAAGTATGGTCACTGGGAGGACAGGGTCCCTCCATTCTGGCCACATTGGCCCAGAGAGGTCACGGAGAACCAGCCGTACAACAAAGCTGGGATCAGAACCACATGGCCCAGCCCGGCTGATTTTCACATGCAGCTCAAACAAGCTGAGAGTCCTTCAAGGTCTGCGGAGAGAGCTGGAGGCAGCTTCTCCTCACCGAGCATCCCTGTAAGCCATCGTACAGTTCCCCTCCAGGCCCTCCATGGTCAGCCCACCAGCTGGCTTCTGTCACCGTGCCATTCTGTAGCCAAGACACTGAGGCCCGGGGAGGGTGGGGGTGTGGATTGCCCCCAGCAGCCCGGCTCTAAGACCCGGAGGCTGGCGATTCAAGGGAACAGGAGCTGTCCCTGGCGTCCCTGTAGTTGTCGGGACCTCGTTTTCATGGCCTTTGGAGCTGGTCTCCAGGCTCCCTCTCCCTCACCAGCCAACCTGCATCTCAAGGCCGACACTGGTCCTTCAAAAGATCGTAGCCTCCAAGGGTGTGGTCATCATGGGACTAGAAAGGCATTTCCCAGGAAGGAAAAGCCCTTGTTCTGCAGATGGAAATGTTAATGCTGGAATTCTGTTGCCCTGGGAAACAGGGTTCTCTCCTTAACTGTTTGGGACCAGACTGGAAGCCAGTGGTAAGTCTTGGAACGCCCACCCAGAAAACAGGGGGCAGGGCTGAAAGCCAGGCAAATGGCTAGAGACGGGACATCCGGAGGCCAGGAGGTGGAGCCCACTGCAGGGCCCACCTGACATCACTGATGCACCCCATCTCTGCGGGGAGCAGGAATGGGATCTCAGAGAGGGCTGATCCATGGCCTCCCCTACAGATGGGGAACACAAGCCCGGCGAGGCCATCCAGAGAGGGCCCCCGCGTTAGAACCTAGGGCATTCTCTGTGAAGAGACAGTGGCGTGGAATGGGAAACGTCTGGGAGGCATAAGACCAACTGCTTCAGGGGGCTGCAGGTCTGGAAGCGAAGGCCTTTCTGGCCACAAGTTCAGAACCATATTGCTTCTAGGGTACGTCAGGCTCAGGACTTCTCAGCTGGACCCTCCACCATCCACACATGCTTTCCTTCGCCAGTATCGACTGGACACTTGCGCTCGGCTGGGCGTTCAGGGGTTGCTGGGGACACGGGCAGGGCCAGGACAGACGGCAGGCGTGGTCCCCACGGCACTTACGTCCCATGGGTCAGAGAGATGCCAGGGTAAATCCAGGAATGATGGATGGAGGTATGAATTAACATGAATAATATATAAATACAAATTCATACTTGAAACGTTTACGAGTGAGTATCGACTGCTATAAGTCAGATATATAGAGTTTATTGTTTTGATTTGTGAGTGTCCGGTGTTGAGCTTGGGGCAGGGAGGGTGAAGAAAGCACTTCTAGGAGGGGTAAAGCAGGGGTGCGATGTGTGTGTAGTAAGCGTAGTAGAGGAGGTTAGAGTGTGTGAGTGTACGTGTGAGCGTGTGATGGTGTGGGTGTGTGTATGTGAGAGTATATGTGACAGTTGTGTGTGTGCGATGAGCATAAGTGGTGTGTGGTGTGGGTGTGGAGCAAGCGTGTATTGATCATGTATGACTGTGTGCGCCTTGCGTGAGGGTGTGTCTGTATGAGCGTGTGGGTGTCTGAGCGTGCTGGTTGGCATGTGTGTCCCTGGGCCTGCGCGTGTGTATACGGGCTTGTGTCTTGTGTCATCTGTCCCCGGGGATGTGCGGATGCGTGTGTGCTGGTGAGTGGAGCTGAGCACATTTTTGAACGTGAGTGTATGTAAGAGTGCGTGTGTGTGCAGGCCGGCGTGAGGAATGTTCTTCCCGGGCGGGGGCGGGGGGCGGTAACGCGCGGGATGGAGATGCCACTGGCCACAGGGAGGTCACCGGAGGGTGGCTGGGGCTGCTTCTCCCAGCCTGGCTTCCAAGGAGGCCGCCCTCTGGGGGTTCCGGGTAGGGACGCTCCTCGCTGCCGCTCTGGTCCGGCCTCTCCAGCGGAGCCTTCAGAGCCACAGTTCTGGCACCAAAAATCCTGCCCTCCCGCACAATCGTCGCCCCAGCTGGGGAGCGGCGGCTCCGCGGCGCCCCAAGGTCAGGGAGCGGCCGGAGCGCGCACAGACCCGGGACCCCGCACCCGGCAGCGCGCCGTCGCGCCCCACGGCCTCTGCGGGAGTGGGGGTCCCGGGTGCGGGTGCCGCTCTGCGGGTCCCCGCGCCCCCTGCCCCGCCGCCCGGAGGCGCCCGGAGGCGTCGGCGGCGGGCGGGGTGCGGCCGGGATCGGTGCGGCACTGGGAGTTCTCCAAGGTGCTAAAATAAACCCGCGAAGGATCAGGTTTCCGACCGAAATAACCCGGGACCGGCCTTGGAAATGCGAACTGCGAAAGCGATCCGGGCGGGAGCGCCGGGGTGGGGAGGCGGTGGTGAAAAACGCTGTTCCAGGGCTCCCTCCCCCTCCTGGCAAGGGCCCCGCCGCTGCCCCTCCCTCCTCTC